TTACTGCTATCATTATTGTAATAATTCTTTGCCATTATTGTTATTATCACTATCATTATCATTATTATCATTATCATTGTTATCATTATCATCATCATTATCATTTTCTACGCCTTTATTTATAGCAAATATCAAATATTTTTTCTTATTTTTTTTGTATTATTTTTTTTTACTTTAAGATATCATAAAAATTGACCAGGTCAAAATGGGGGCGGGGCTAAAAACGTCATCAAGCTTAGCCAATGAGAGCGCGCCGTGAGATAACAGACATTGGTAGATACATAATTATTTCTATAATTTTCTCGATATTAATATAATTTACCAGAAATAAAACAAAAAAGACCCTACTTATATTTATGATAACGAAGAGTTTACTACCATTCCTAGCCGTCATAATACTCTTAGGAAAAATAATTCTCATTATTGCGTTTAATTGACGTTTGAACTCCTGGTCATGTGTACCTTGATCATCATTATTAATCATTATTATTTTTACCATGGATATGATCATCTTTATCCAATATTATGATTTTATTAACACTGTTGTGATAGCAATGATGATAATAATTATAATGAGTAGTAAGTAATGATGATAGTAATGATAATAAAGATAATAACAATAATGATGATGGTGATGATAATAATAATAATAATAATAATAATTATATTATCAATAATTATTGTTATTATCATTACTATTATTAGCAGTAATATTTCTACTGTCATCATCATCATTAAATAAATTACTATTACCATCACTTTCATCATCATTACCATTATCATTACTATTATTATCATCACTATAATTATTATCATTATTATTATCACGATTTTTATTATTATAATCATTATCAATACCATCACCATTACAATCATTATTGCTATCATTATTACTATCACTATTATAGTTATTATCATCACTATCCTTATCTTTATAATTTATCATTATAATTACCATCATGCTCATTAGCATTACTATTATCATTAGCATTACTTTCATGGTAGCAATACTAATACTAACAAGAAAACACAAAGTAGAGTAATAAGTAAAGAAAGAGAAGAAGAAATGGAAGAAAAGACAAAAAACGCGAGGAGGAGGAAGAGAATAATAATGATATGGAAAGAAAGAGGATAAAATCAAAACAAAACAAATGATTATAATAACAAGGAGACAAAACAAGATAAAATTAAAGAAAGAAAGATAGAATATGCGAAGGTAAGAAAGAAAATGATGATAAGAAAAACATGAAGGTGGCAATATAAAAGTGAAAAATGGAAAAAAATAAAGAATGAGGAAAAAATAAATAAGAATAACAAGAAGAATTAGAAGAAAAGGAGAGAAGGGTAATAAGAATGCAAATGATAAGAAAAAAGTGGAGAATAAACCATAAGAATTTGAATGATAAGAATAAAGAGAAAATCGAAAATAAGAAACAGAAAAAAAAGAATAATAGAGGAAAAAAATGAATAACAATAAGAGAAGAATGAAAAAAATAAGAATTGAATTGATACTAATGATAATAATAAAAGGAAATGAAAGAAAATATTTTTGTCTCGTCTCACACATGCATCAAAAGAAGAGGAAAAAATACTTCTGTCTTCTGTCTAAGTGTATAAATGTGTTCAAATCACAAGGATATTTATACATTGTCAAAGGAAATCGAGGTTTAATCAAAGAAACAAAAATATACAGTTGTTTCTCAGGCTTTTTATGACATCAATGAATCTATCATACGATGAAATCCAGCCTTGAGACAGTTATGTAAAAAGGATCAAATATGTTTTATAAACTTAAGATTTAGTAGTAATATAAATCATGCATAGATAACACACAAAAATGGTGCTAGGACAAGAAAACTGTCCAGAAGCTAAACTTTATTTGTAACACAAAGACTACAATGTAACAAAATTGCTATTCAAAAACAGCAAAAGTCTTTACTTACTAATAACATGCATAAAAGTGCAGTTTACAGAGGTGCATAAAGTATCAACGCTAAAAATAAAGTTCTTTTTTCAAACTATAAAGATAACATTCATATATCAAGTGACATGTACATATAAATTCTCACAGTGACATCTTGCACGTGAGAAAGTGTCCAGTAACCAGAATTATACTATGGTCAGTAACACATCCATAGTCTTTAACATTTACCATCACCAAGCAATAGTCTTTAAGTAGTTTTAAAGGACATTAATGTAATACAAGCCATTCCAGTTACTTGGATAAACAAACGAAATCACATTGTTTTTTTTCATTACATACTTAAAAGCTTTATCATAGTTTAATGAAACAACGCAGCGTATCTTTATCATTATCATTCAAAGTTCTAAAAAGGAGATAATAGTTCTTCTCACTGTCAAAGAAATGTTCTTGAATTAGGTGGTGTTTGGAATCAGGAACCAACAGTCGCACTGTCAAATATCTTTAAAAGCACTTAAGCAGGGTTCTAAATTTGTAAGCACGTAACCCTCTATACATTGTTTTTATTATAGATGATTGATTATTTAACATATAAAATCTGTCCATGAATCTATACTTTGTTACCTATGAAATTTCCATATTTCTGCAGTACTATTCCCATTAATTGTTCAGCATTTTATATTTAATAAAGGGAATATATGAAAGGTTATATGAACATATGGAAATAAGTGACTACCTGGTCTAGCGTGTAGGTTGCCAAACACCATCTTATATTTGTACTGGAAACTTTTGAACATATTCTATCAATTCATCTCACAATGTATTGACCCATTGTCGATAAGTTAAAGGCAAAGATAAAATCTATTTTTGATGTGAAGGAACTATACCACCTTGAATGAACTTTGACAAATAGATTGTTTATACTCTGTAAATCTAGCTTAGATATAGTAAAATAAATCCATGCATAAATTATTCAGAAATTGGTGCTTGGACGACAAAATCGTCCTTTCTGTAAAATGGTAACAACCTTTCTTACAACTGGCATGCAGAATGTGCAGTTTACAAGAAAACAAATGCTTAAAAATCAGCACTACTGAAAATAGATATATTTTACTGTCAAATCAGTCACACGTATATATATATATATATATATATATATATATATATATATTATATATATATATATATATATATATTCATCTAATCATAACATGCACATATCATCAGATCACATGACGGATCACTGTATATCATGGATCCAAAAGAAAAAAAAAGAGCCAAATAATTTTCATACATACATTCATATATATATATATATATATATATATATATATTATATATATATATATATATATATATATATATATATATATATATATATATATATATATATATATATATATATATATATATATATATATATATGTATGTATGTATGTATGTGGGTATATAGATTCATAACCATGAAGATAAATACAATTCCCGGATCATAACAGGAATCCACGAGCTACTGAGCCTTGTCATGCGCGTCCCTCTGGCCATGAGGGAGCGGACACCCCGATGCCGGCTTTGGGAGGCAACCTCAAGGCCATCTCGTCAGATTATGCCCCCTTGGTCTGATCTGTATTTTATTTACCTATTTATTTATCTGTTTTACAAGTATGATGTCCCTATTTCTGCCGTGATCAAGTATCATGTAACGGTGGAGTCATTCTTTATCAGGAGACAGCGGTCCTTAGGAACTCGACTCTCGTCTTCTTATGTCATTTTGAGGATAATCTTCCCTTTTATTTGAATTTGAGTTGATAAGTAGAATTTCCTTAAATCTTCAAGTGAAGTTAAGCTCTATAAGAATGTTCAAAGGTGATATTGCTCGTTTTGCGGGACTGGGACTCAAACGTTATTATAACAAGGCTTGTTTTCACTTTACCCATCATATAATTCGCCTAAATTTATCATGAAGTTTTGTTCAGACGAAATAAAGGATGTTGTATAGTTGCTTGTCATGGAATATGATCGACTCCACTGGTTACATGACGCAAGGTCTTCGGCGAAAGGTGTACAAGGAAATGGGTTTGTTTGGCTTATGGGCTGATGGGGGATCGCGTTGATTCATTAAGAGTTTACAGTTTATTGTTGTGGGTTTATGGGGTTCACGCTGAAAAGTCTGCAGGTAGAGAGGTATTGCAAGCTCTTTTATAAGAGGGAGTAAAAATCATTGAGAGAAAGTTTGCAAGTTTAAGGGAGTGGGTTGTTTGGGGTTTGAGGGTCGAGGTTCAGAAGGGACGGGTAGAGTGGTGCAGACGGGGTTGGGGTTGAGGGGGCCTTCCGCTTTACTTACTGCACTTGGGGTTGATGCACTTGCGTCTTCTTCTGAGTTTCTTGGGGCACGGGCGACCTTCGTGCTGAGGGAAGACCTGTGGGAGACAGTGGGGCATAATTAGTGGGAATTGGGAGATATATTATCCTCAGTCTCTATCATATTTATAGGCATCAGCAACAACGTCCTTGTTACTGATCACTTATAGTTATATCGATACTTATTCGTCCTCTCTCTTACTTTCTTTCGCTTTCTCTCTCAGTTAACACGCAAAGAGAGCGAAAGAGAGAGAGAAAGAGAGAGAGAGAGAGAGAGAGAGAGAGAGAGAGAGAGAGAGAGAGAGAGAGAGAGAGAGAGAGAGAGAGAGAGAGAGAGAGAGAGAGAGAGAGAGAGAGAGAGAGAGAGAGAGAGAGAGAGAGAGAATAACGGCTGTCCTTACCAGAATCTCCCTAGTCCTGGATACCCATCCCTTGCCGCAGGTCTTGGAGCAGCCGGTCCACTCGCTCCACGGACTGACCTGGCAGTCGACGTCGGCTACACTGTTCCTACTGTATAGGGACGGGGAACGTTAGTGTGTGTTTATTATGAGAAGGTGACAAGAGAGAGAGGCAGAGAGGGAGGGGAGTGATAGGGGGAGGGGGAAAGGGGGAGGAAGTGAGTGAGAGAAGGGTGTGTGAGAGGGAGGATGGGAAAGGGGGAGGAGGGGAGGAAAGAAGGGAGGGAGGAAAAGAGGAGTTGGAGAAGGAGGGAGGCGGGGAGGAAGGGAGAGAGGGAGAGGAAGAGATAGATAGATAGATAGCGGGATCCAGTTGGTAAAGAGAGGAGAGAGAGAGAGAGAGAGAGAGAGAGGTGGGAGGGAGCAAAAGACAGAGTGTAAAAGACAAGCAAGCCTAAAAGACCTCAGACATATAAGGCAATGATGAAGAAGAAAAAAAAGTAAACAAATATAAGCAATAATCGAATTATAAATCCCCAGAGACAGACACTTCCCTTCAGAATAGTTCATTTGATCAGAAAATCCGAATACTTACGTGGGCAAAGGCGTACGAGCTGTATGGGAGAGACAAGAGGAAAAGAATTAGCCAAGTCGAACAGACACGGGAAAGCAACATCAACAAATACACAACCAAATAACGCATCTAAACAAGAATAATAAAAAAACACACACCCAACCACCGCATCCAAAACCAAAAAAAAAACAAAAACAAAACGAAACACAAACTCACTCTTGACCTCGCACGCCATCGCACACTCGTCATAGGTCTCGAAATTGTTCCTGTTGCCCCTGCAGCCTCCGTACGTGAACTGGCGACACTGCTGGTGGTCGACGTCGTAGTAGAAGCGCTTGAGGACGGCGCGACAAGGTCCTTCCTCCTTCTCCTGCATGCACACCTCTGTTAAAAGGGAGGGGAGGGGGAAGGACACGAGGTTAACGCTGGGTTGTTAGAACCGATCTGTTTTTTGTTCTTTCTTTTTATTATCTCTGTTATGGTTCTGTTGCTATTCTTTTTTATTATTGTGTTGTTGGTGGTGTGGGAGTAGATTTTATTTATCTACTTCACTATCTGTTATCTTTGTTATCCTTATGATCATTTATACTTGACTTGATTTTGATGTGGGTGAAAGTGGGGTATAAGTGGGGGTCTAAATCGGAAGTAGGGGAGAAAGACTGAATTTGATAAAAGGTGATTGGGAAAAGAGAGTCGGGCGAAAGGGTAATCAGTGCATTGCTTGTGCTTGTTTGCATGTGTGTGTATACGCAAGTGTAAGTGACTGGTTGTTAAACAGTTTGATAATGTGAAATCAAATTGTAATTGAGTTTATAAATCACAGTGTTGCTGTTTTACGTTAACAAAGAAAGTCGTGTAGGAAATCGTACAAGAATCAAAATAAAAAGGAAATCAATGTGTGAGGCAGAGATAGATATAGAGTGAAAGAGAGACAATAGACCAATGGATGAATAGATAAAGAGAGAGAGAGAGAGAGAGAGAGAGAGAGAGAGAGAGAGAGAGAGAGAGAGAGAGAGAGAGAGAGAGAGAGAGAGAGAGAGAGAGAGAGAGAGAGAGAGACGAAGGGCAGAATGTCAGAACAATGTTTTTTTGTATTGTTTTATTCAATGTAAGAATTTAAAGCATTATATTCCCCTCAAAATATACATCATATATCACATATATCACAACATAATCCTATGCCATCCATATATATGTCATAAATGAAGGATAATATATCGCACACAGAAAAATAGAAATGTTACTCTGGAAAGGAACGAAATAGACATTATATCTAAAATCTACCAGTAAAAAATTGGACACTTACTACACCACAACACCAAAGTAAACTCTTCTGACAGACAACAACCCATTAATGAACAAACAAACAAACACACAACCCTATCAACACACTCAGAAGCCACACAGTTTAATAAGGGTTAAAAAAAAACATTTTTTAAAAGAGAAAGGGTAATTAATGATGTTAATGAAATGGTTACTCTTAGTAATCTCAAAGAAAATAATGATGGTAATTATAATGGGGATAATGATATTGTTGATGATTATAGGAGATTGATGATAATGAAAATGATACTAATAGTGATAAGATGATGTTCATGATAATATGACAATGATAATAATGATAATGTTAATAATGATAATAATTATACAATAATAATGATAAAGAATAAAGCTAATAATAATAATGATAATGATAATAACATCAACTGCAATGATGATAATATTGATTATTATTATAATAATATTGATAATAATAATGACAATAATGAAAATCATAGCCATAGTAATAACAAGAATGATGATATGATAATAATAATAATGATAATAATAATGATAATGATAATGATAATAATGATAATAATAATAATAATAATAATAATAATAATAATAATAATAATAATAATAATAATAATAATAATAATAATAATAATAATAATAATAATAATAATAATAATAATAATAATAATAATAATAATAATAATAAGAACAATAACAATAGTGATTATGATAATGATAATAACAATGATAATAATGATAATGATAATAATAACAATAATAATAGTGAACATGATAATGATATTGAAGATAATAGTAAAGATAATAATAATAATGATAATAACAATAACAGTGATAATGATAACATCATAATAATTGTAACAACAACAACGGCAATGATAATGATAATAATGATAATGATAATGATAATGATAATGATAATGATAATAATAATAATAATAGTAATAATAATA